CACCACTTGTGACCTACCTCCTGCTGATTCAGCAGAACTGCAGGTGCACCAGAAGCCAACAGATACAGAAATGTGTTGGGTCAAACAACCCTGCGACAGGAAATGCTCCTGTTACCGTCTTCTGTTTGCAATGAATCCGTAGCCTACAGATCAAAAATGATGAATCATTTTCCACCTCCCCAGTGTAGCAGCAGCAGTCATTTCCCACAGAGACTTGCTTCTGAGGACACAGCTGAAATGTTTTACCCTAGGCCTGGAAACCTCCAGTTGCAAATACCCAGGCTTCAGGCACAAGCCAAAGTGACACCAGCTCCTCATAGCCACAGCCATTCAACCCATGGGCAACCCACACTCACAACTCAGCAGACTGCTAGCCCAGTTATCTTCCTCTGTCATGACCATATCCCAACACCCAACAAGTACATCTCCAAGATATTCTCCACTGCTTGCTGATAGGTTTTGGTTCACTGAAGGGTGAACAGGAGAATGAATAAGGGTAACCCTCTCCCTTCAGCCAACTTGGTGGCTTGGGGGAAGCTTAGACTGTGTTGTGACCCCAGGGAAAAGGATGGCTGCAAAGAGAGCCACTGGCCACGTGTCTTGGCTCTCCCCTCTTTGTTCAATGGCACAGGCAGCAGCAAGCCAGAAACTCATGGGTGCCCACTCTTTTCTGAGAGTAAAACAGCAAAGGTGGTGGCTGGAGAGAGAAGACAAAGTCTTACAGCAGCTGAAACTTGTTCTAGAAGACACACTGGTACTATTCGGGCATTTTTTAGTCCTTAGACCAGAGGTGCAGCAGGTCAGCACACTGCATGAAGTCAGAAAAACTGCTGCAAGACCAATCTGCCTTAACACACTGACCATCCTCTGAGAGTAAGACAGCAAATACCGCAGGGTGGAGCGCTGTGGGTGGATTTCACTGTTGGCGAGAACACAGGAACAACTGCATTAGGAATGTAACACGACATGACGGGCTGGCGAGTGGGTAAGATGGCTGAAAAACCAGTAACCAGTACAGGATCAGCCTGGTTGAAGTCTCCACAGAAGGGATGTGCGTGGAGGTGTGCTAATGATAAATGAAAACCACCCAAAGGAGTCCATATTATCTGTGCAACTCCAAACAATCTGCAGCTTTCCCTGCACGTGTAGTGAACTTCTGGTGTCCGAAGCCTTTAAGGAATGCGACACATGTTCACATTGTACTGCTTGGGGAAAAAAAAAGTAAAAAGGTCATTGAAACTTTTTTTTTTTAATCAGACAAAAAGCCATTTACCACTCTCTAAAACAGATCTGTGTGTTCTTAATCCCCCAGCTGAGACAGGAGCTGTGCTGGCAGGTGACAGCAGCCCATGCCACTGGACACAGCCACAGTTCTCAGGCCATTTGATCTGCTTGCTTTCGCCGACAGATTTAATTCCTGCCTTGGTCTGCAGCTTTTCCAATGTATTTGAGGCCCCTCTTCAGCCCTCAGTGGAACTTTGCTATGTGAACTATGTGAACTAAGTGACTGTGGAAGACCTGAAGACATTTTGTACATATGCCCCTAATAAAACCTCTGCATCTCGCCTACAGTCATACATCTGCCACCAGGGCAGCAATGAGCTAAGGTACATCAGGTAAATATTTCACCACATCAAAGCCTCTGTTGTGTAAAACCACCTGCAACAGTCTTGAAATTCAAGCAAAGCAGAACAGTTCTTTTCATTGCTTTTTGCTTGAATGCACTACTAAAGGCAGTAAAGGGGGACAGAGCAACACGTGAGCACCAGCGTCCCCAGTGAATACTCTGTCCCACCAGGGCATTTCACAGTGCTTTGATTTCTCCTCCTTAGTTCTGTGCTCTTAGCTTTCAGTGCGATGGCTCACCTCTGCCAAATGAGCTGATTCAGTATTTAGTTACACACCCTTTGCTGGAAAAAAGGCACCAAACTGGAATGTGATACTCAGTCCTCTTAATTGTGAAGGGGAGAAATCATCTGCAGCAAGTATGATGTACAGCAGCAGCAAGCACAATGACATATAATCTGATGTACAGCAGTAGTTGAGCAGAGACGTTCTCAAGCTCAGTGGCTTCCTGCAGGATACCAAGGTCTTAATTGTAAAGAGTTTTGAAGTTTTTAAATGTCAAAGATGACAGCTCTGCATAATGGGAATAGTTTCAAGTGGGCCACAGCTGCCAGCTCAGTCTCCTGGGCTCTGTATACGTAATCCTCCCCAAAAGGAGCTTCAGCCTCACTTGACAAACAGAATTTAGAGAATTTCACAAGAGAAGCAAAAGAGGATGAAGAGACACCATGAGGCCATGTCAGCACAGACTCCCCTTTGCAGCTTTCCCTTCTGGGCTTGGGCAACTTCTACAAGGAGGGAAGTCATGGACTGAACTGTCACGGGGTTACAAAATGCAATAGGTGATAACTGATGTCTGGGCAGCGTCCTGTGGGACCACCATGCATGCATGGAGCAGACAGCAAAGAACATGACACCGAGCTGCTGTGGAAGCTCATAGAATTCTCATCTCTTGCTACACAATGATGCCTGGATTAAGGTTACATTCCTCCGTGCTGCATTGTCACGCAGCTGCTATTTTGGTCAGAAAGTCAGCAAGCCCGTATTTGGGAGGCTGTCCCACTGAAGGGCAGCATGAAGGGCAGCGAGATGAAAAGGCTGCTTCTGAAGGCAGGCCTGGGGGAGCTGCCTGGAGTCACAGGAAACCCAAATCTTCCTCTCTGCTTCTCGTTAATGTGCCAACATCCTTTCTACAGCCTGCCCCTTGCCTCTCTCTCTTCCCTCAAATCACATCCTGTTGGTGAGCTACTCTCGCAACACAAGCACTCTGGGGAAGATGCCAAGGGGGTTTAGAGATAGACTCTCACTTCTTAGATGGAAAGGTCTTAGTGCTAGAGAACCTAAACCAGATTGTTCTGCAGATACATGGGTGAAGGTGTAGCCTGACAAACATCAAGTCCTGTTCAGAGGCTTTTCTTTCACTCTTCTTGTCACAATGCCCATCTACAGCAGACTGACCTTCACTTACACAGCTGGACCAGCCACTCTCTCCTCCACCAGCAGCAACCAAGGGGACACCTCCCCATGCTCGGCCTCTCTGCCAGTCCTGGCAAGGGCTGCAGGGGGCTGCCAGGCAGCTCTGGGCCAGTGGCTGTGACTGCCAGCTGCCCATGCTAACCTGAACCACAGCGACACAACCTTGCCTTTGTAGGCAATCTTGCTCAAGCAGGGCAGGGACCAGCCACCACAGCTTAAGAACTCTTGATACCCACAGGCACTTAGGTACCACTGAGGCCAGTGGGATTTAAGCACTGTGCATCTGTCTCTGGGTGACACACCACTTTCAAAAAAACTCTCCAGGGAGGATTAACACCACAAAGACCTCTTGCCAGGCGACCTTCTGGTGTACCCAAGGGCAGCAGGGACCAGACAACCTTTTTGTCTTGACTACTTTGCACTCTACCTGGTGGTATGAACCCTGTGACTCTAGGCTCTCTCCAGCACAGCGCCCTTCCTGACCACCACACCACTCTCACACAGCAATTAAGTTCTTTTGCCTGACAAAAACGTCAACCTCCACAACAGTCCAAGAGATGTACACAGCAGGAAGCAGACAGCTGAGGGTTGCAGACTTTTCGCAGACTTCAAAAGCCCTCTACTCCTGACTTTTAAGGCAGTAAATCTCTTTATATTGCTTGGTTTAGAGCTAGGCAGCATTTTTCATCAAAACTAATTAAAAAGTGGGAACAGGGGAAAGACTTTTGAATTCGAGCCACAAAGAATTCAAAATATTTACCTTGTTTCAAAATAACATTGCATTTTGGTAATTGGCTAAACTATTTAAAAAAAAATCAGTTACACTAATTGCATGTTCAGTTGAAACAGTTGTGGGGTTTTTTTTACCCATCAGGTGTTTTGCTGCTCTACTGCAAAGTCCGAAGATACTTGCAAACTTTCAGCCCTTGTGCCGAAGGATTTACACCACCGGGTGGACAAGCGTTGGAATTGCAGTTTCAGGAACAGTTGTTGCATTTTAACACGTGGCTCTGTTCAGCAATAAAAAAGCATCTCTCCAACCAGCTTTGCAGTCTGGTGGGACTTGGAGCATGAAGCCCTCTCCTGGTCTCCAGGACAGCAGTACCAAACCCCTGCCACAGCACCTCTCAGGCTTTTGAATGTGATGTCACCAGTCAGCACATTTCATGCAGTGGGTAATATTTTGTTACTGGAATGAAAGACCTCCACTAGAATACAGTAACTATGAAAAGTACAGACATTTTATATAGTCCTATGACTGCACACTAGCACCTTTAACACTTCAATACTTTCAAGTATTTCAGAATACAACACACACCACTTCTAACACCAACTGCTATGATCTCTAACACCACAGCTAGTACTAAGAACCCTTGCATTTTCCAGGATTTCTGTGTCTTTCTGTACAGCTACTCTGTAGCTGTAACTACCTTACCCGGACAGCAAAGCAGCAGACACTGAACAGCCTCTGGAAATCTCATCTTGCTGTAGTAACAGCACTAGGATCTATCATAAAAACTGTGGTATGCAAGAACTCCGAACATGCATGCCAGTATCAAAAATAATTTTACCTGTATCAAATACTGTCACCTGACAGTCCAGGCAACACTGGCTTCAATTTGTGCAAAAAGAAACAAGTTGTTTCTTGTTTATATTTTAGAGGTTCCCTCAATAACCATTTCACAACTTGAAATGAGGCTTTGCACTACTCAACGCTCATGGCCTGTGTACCAATGATTACAGTAGAACAGCACCGAGGAGGGAGCGGCTGTTTTACCTTCTGTGCATGGAGGCTGACAGTAGTACCAGAAAACCTCTCCAGAGCTCTGGCTGGCTTGGTCTGCCAGAGAACAAAACCACACTGGTCACTACATGCAGGCTTAACACACGACTGGCATCAAAAACACAACTCGAATAAGGCTTCTGGGGGCTTCTCCTCAAATTCGGGAGGCAAAGACTTTGTTACGTCCAATTTTATTTTTACAAAACAGCTGAAATACGCATGCCACTAGGAAAACTGGTTGTCTTAAACCATGTCAGTCCTTTTTCTGCTGAGCAGCCTGCTTGGCATTGTTGGCCTGCATCTTCTTCAGCCCCTTTTTGTTGTGTTTCTTTGCAAACCTCATGTTCCTCAGAAACTTGGGATCAACCTGTAAAGAAAAAAACAACCTATGTTGTAGAAGGGACATAGATAAAAACATACTGATCTCCAGATTGTTCCAATTATTCGCAAATGCTGGCTGTGATTAATTCAGATTTTTCTGATTTATTATATCAACAAAATTATTTTAGCCATCTGTAACCACCCTTTAATAGCTGTTTTCCTTAATTTCCATCAACAAACAAACAAACCCCAAACTCCATCAACAAACACACAGAATGAGCAGGAAAAGCTGAGTAAAGCTGCAAACAAGACAAATTTCATTTCCATGTCATGATACATTCTGGATCTGAAGTACCACAAACCAACCTTGGCAGGCGAGCACATATACATGTAATCCTTGGGCAAAGCCCGATGCCACTTCCTCAGGCCTCTCCTTTTACACTAAAGGAAAAAAGTACCAGCACAGCCAAGAGTAGCTGTGCAGCTTTTGTCAGCATACAGCTGGCTAATGCATCCTGTCACAGCCAGGACCAATTCTCAAAACTATCAGCTACCATCCCACCAAGAACCTTTTGCTGTTTTACTGTAAGCAGCATTTTAACTGGCACACACGAGCATCAGGATTGTGCCATCTTAACTGACATGCACTTGGTGCACGGAGACACTCAGACTGCTGGACTATCGGCAGGAGGGAGCAGGACTGGACCCTCACTGAGCTATGCAGAAGACAAGCTTTTGCGTCACATCCAAAAAGCGGATAATCACATCCACAGGCAAACAGAATCACAACCCTCCCCAAAGCAAAAATGTCCTGTTTTCATTTTCAAGTGTGGAAAAAGATCCTGTTGTATCACTCGTCTAATCCCAGAAAAAGCAAAATGCTGTCATTTTTCATAATGTATTGTCCAGAAACCCCAATTTCTCTCATCTTCCAAGTCTAATTGTCTGGACTAGTACAATGATAGTAAATTATTATTATTTTAATATGAGTAAATTACTATTACTTTACTAGTAACAGCAAAATAATATTGAAGGGTACAAAGAAGTAGGAGAGACAGCAGGACTCAAACGGGAGAAGAGCTATCCAGCTGACAGGTTTGTTTCACTGGAAGCAGCACTTAGTGACACCCACCCGAGCAGGACAGACAAAGTTGGTGCACAACTGAAAAGCAGTTTTACAGACATGCAAGGGCAGATTTCATGTGGGTTAGAAATACCGCAGCTGTACCTAAGGTAAGCAAAAGATAAAACAGAAACCCACTGTGGTTCTGACCATCTGAAACACAAGCCCCTGTCTGCAAAAAACCATGTCAGTCAAAATAATGTAAGTACTGCATTTTTTCATGGCCAAGCCTCAATGGATTAACAGCCTGGAAACTTCAGTAGAAATACTCACCCCTTTGAGAGATTCGTATCTATGGGATCTGGGTTTCTTGATGCCATTTCTGTGCCACTTACGGGCTATGTGGAAGACCAGAAAACAGTTTAAATTACCATTTTCCCCATTATTGAATAGCTGCAATAGCCTGCCTTTAAGTCCAGCTGACCCTCTAAAAGTGACGTGGAACAGAAAATTTTCTAACCCTTCCTAGGCAAACTAAACACAAATTAATAACGCATCTCTACTCTCACCCCTCTGCACGCTGTGCTCTCCGCACCTTGCGAGGTTCCAACCCAAGGATTTCAGGCTCCTCATTAATGAGTAATATACCAATGTCAACACCACGAGCACAAGAAAAGGCCTCAGCCATTAAAAAGTTCAAGCCCTTGCGTTTAGTGTTAAAAGGCACCATTGTTCACTGTGCAAGACCAAGCAGAACCTACTCCTGAACTCTGCTGACTTACAGCATTGATGAAAAGCCCCAGACAAGAATAATTTATCACTGTGGTCATCTCAGGACAGCAAAGCACCACAGACTGAATGCCATTCAGTAACGTGCTTAGTTCAAAGATGAAACTTGCGTTTTTCCCGGTTACGCGTTATTTTTGTATCAAGCCCAAGCAGCTCAACGCAGAGCTCTCTTTCGGTGAGACGCACCCCTCCCCTTTCCGCACCGCTCCCTCCTTCCCTCCTGAGCTGACCTCGCTGCGAAAGAACCAGGAAGACCGGGCTGCACAACCGAGCCGGCCAAAGCAG